GAAATAGATGAATAGTTACAGTATCAACTTATCAGTATTCAAGAATTTTTTTTTTTGTGTCGTTTTCTCTCCGCATTCTGAGAGCTAACAGTCAGATTGCGGTGCACCGAATCTGCCTTTCTGTTAAACACTCTTTCTTTGTATATATTCCTTCCTCAGAATCCGTAAAATCACACGAATACAGATCGATCGATCAAAATTTTTGTTTTTATCACTTGTAATCTCAATGTTGAGTTCGTTGTTCATTTGTTGAGTTTTAAGTTGTACTATAGTATACCTTGTATTACATTACAGTTTCAGTTCCCGTAAGCTTTCATTCCAATTTTCAAACTTATGTATCTATAATTTTCATGTTGTGTCTTTGACATTGTTAAGAATCGCCCAAGCCTTTTATACCTGCCATCTCTAGTTCGTATTAGTTGTATGTCGGGACGACATACGTTAGCGTCGCCGAGCTCTCAGTAGTAGTAACCAGTTACCAGTCTCAGTAGTAGTAACCAGTTACCAGTAACCTGTCCGTTGACTCAACGACCAACCGTCTTGAGTCACGGTCTGTGCTGAGCTGACACTATTTTCAAAAGACCCACTACGGGGTACTGGCCAGCCGGCTAGTCAGTTTTACGAGTGTAACCAAGGAGATAGGTAACGGCTGCGGGCTCCCTCCACATAACAGCAATTATAAGTAATAACAGCCTACGTGAGTATTTCTACCCTAATCCACGTATCGAACTCCCACATGATACCTTACTAGTGTGGTGTCTCTCACTACGCTCACTAGAGTGATGTCCCTCACTATCCATACTAGAGTGGTATCCCTCACTACCCTTAGTAGATTGGCGTCCCTAACTTCCCTTACTATAGTGGTGTCCCTCACTAACCTTACTAGAGTTGTGTCCCTCACTACCCTTACTAAAGTGGTGTCCCTTACTACCCTTACTAAAGTGGTGTCCACAACTATCCTTACTAGAATGGTGTCCTTCACTACCCTTACTAGAGTGGTGTCCCTCAGTACCCTTAATAGTGTCCCTCAGTGCCCTTACTAGAGTGGTGACCCTTATTACACTTACCAGAGTGGTGTCCTGCACTACCCTTACTAGAATGGTATCCTTCACTACCCTTACTAGAGTGGTGTCCCTCACTACCCTTAGTAGAGTGGCGTCCCTAACTTCCCTTTCTAGAGTGGTGTCCCTCACTAACCTTACTAGAGTGGTGTCCCTCACTACCCTTACTAGAGAGAATCGCTTAGTACCCTTAATAGAGTGGTGTCCTGCACTACCCTTACTAGAATGGAATCCTTCACTACCCTTACTAGAGTGGTGTCCCTCATTACCCTTATCAGAGTTTTGTCCCACACTACTTTTACTGGAGTGGTGTCCCCAGTACCCTTACTACAGTTGTGTCCCTCACTACATTTACTAGTGTGGTGTCAGTCACTTCCCTTAATAGAGTGGTGTCCCTCTCTACTCTTACTATAGTGGTGTCTCTCAGCACGCTTACTAGAGTGGTGTCCCTCATTACCCTTACTAGAGTGGTCTCCCTCAGTATTCTTATTGGAGTGGTGTCCCTCACTACCCTTACTAGAGTGGTGTCCCCCTTTACACTTATTATAGTGGTGTCTCTCAGTACGCTTCCTAGAGTGATGTCCCTCACTATCCTTACTAGAGTGGTGTCCCTCACTACCCTTACTAGAGTGGTGTCCCTCACTACCCTTACTAGAGTGGTGTCCCTCACTACCCTTACTAGAGTGGTGTCCCTCACTACCCTTTCCAGAGTGGTGTCGCTCACTACCCTTACTAGAGTGGTGTCCCTCACTACCCTTACTAGAGTGGTGTCCACACTACCCTTACTAGAGCGGTTCCCCAACTACCCAACCAGAGTGGTGTCCCCCCCTACCCTTACCAGAGTTGTGGGCCCTGACTACCCTTACTAGAGTGGTGTCCTTGACTACCCTTACTAGAGTGGGTGTCCCTCAATAGCCTTACTTAAGTGGTGTCCCTCAGTATTCTTAACTAGAGTGGTGTCCCTCAGTACCCTTACCAAAAGGCTGTCCCTCACTACCCTTACTTGTGTCGTTCGGTACCCTTACTAGAGTTGTGTCCCTTACTACCCTTACTACAGCGGTGTCCATCACTACCCTTACTAGAGTGGTGTCCTTCACTACCCTCACTAGAGTGACGTCCCTCACTACCCTTACTAGAGTGGTGTCCCTTACTTCATTTACTACAAAGGTGTCCCTCACTGCCCTTACTTTAGTGGTATCCTTCACTACCCTTAATAGAGTGGTGTCCCTCACTACTCTTACCAAGGAGGCGTCCGTCTCTACCCTTAGTAGAGTCTCGCCCTTTACTGCCCTTACAAGCGTGGTGTCCCTGACTACCCTTTCCAGACTTGTGTCCCTCACTACCATTACCAGAGTAGTGTCCCCCACTACCCTTAGTAGAGTGGTGTCCCTAAGTACCCTTACTAGAGTGGTGTCCCTCACTCCCCTTACTATAGAAGTGTCTCTCACTGCCCTTATTCGAGTGGTGTCCCTTACTTCCCCTACTAGAGTGGTGTCCCTCTCTAACCTTACTTGAGTGGTGTCCCTCAGTACCCTTACTAGAATGGTGTCTCTCACTACCATTTCTTGAGTTATGTCCCTAAACACCCTTAAGTGGTGTCGCTCAGTACCCTTCATAGAGTGTTGTCCCTAAGTACCCTTACTAGAGTGGTGTCCCTCACTCCCCTTACTATAGAAGTGTCTCTCACTGCCCTTATTCGAGTGGTGTCCCTTACTTCCCTTACTAGAGTGGTGTCCCTCTCTAACCTTACTTGAGTGGTGTCCCTCAGTCCCCTTTTCTAGAATGGTGTCTCTCACTACCATTTCTTGAGTTATGTCCCTAAACACCCTTAAGTGGTGTCACTCAGTACCCTTCATAGAGTGTTGTCCCTCACTACCCTTACTAGAGTGGTGTCCCTCAGTATCCTTATTGTAGTGGTGTCCCCAACTATCCTAACTAGAGTGGTGTCCCTCAGTACCCTAACTATAGTGGCGTCTCTCACAACCCTTACTAGAGTGGTGTCCCTCACTACCCTTACTAGAGAGGTGTCCATCACTACCCTTATTAGAGTGGTGTCAATTACTACCATTACTAGAATGGTGTCTGTCACTGCCCTTACTTGTGTGGTGTCCCTCACTACCCTTACTAGAGTGGTGTCCCTCACTACCCTTACTAGAGTGGTGTCCCTCAGTACCCTTACTAGAGTGGTGTCCCTCAATACCCTTACTAGAATGGTGTCTCTCACTGCCCTTAGTTGAGTGGTGTCCCTCACTACCCTTACTAGAGTGGTGTCCCTCACTACCCTTTCTAGAGTGGTGTCCCTCACTACCCTTAATAGAGTGTTGACCCTCACTACCCTTACTAGAGTGGCGTCCCTCACTAAACCCCTTTCTAAGTGGTGTCCCTCACTACCCTTACTAGAGTGGTGTCCCTCACTACCCTTACTAGAGTGGTGTCCCTCACTACCCTTACTAGAGTGGTGTCCCTCACTACCCTTACTAGAGTGGTGTCCCTCACTACCCTTACTAGAGTGGTGTCCCTCACTACCCTTACTAGAGTGGTGTCCCTCACTACCCTTACCAGAGTGGTGTCCTTCGCTACCTTTACTAAAGTGTTCTCTCTCAGTACCTCAGTAAAGTGGTGTCCCTCAGTACCCTTACTACAGTGGTGTCCCACAGTACCCTTGCTAGGGTGGTGTCCCTGGCTACCGTTACTGGAGTGGTGTCCTTTAGTATCCTTTCTGGAGTGGTGTCCCTCACTACCCTTACTAGAGTTGTGTCCCCCACAACCCTTACTAGATTGGTATCCCTCAGTTCCCTTACTGTCGTGGTGTCACTCAGAAGCCATGCTAGAGTGGTGTCCCTCACTTCCCTTACTAGAGTGGTGTCCCTCAGTACCCTTAATAGAGTGTTGTCCCTCACTACCCTTTCTTGAGTGGTGTCCCCCACTACCCTTACTAGAGTGGCGTCCCTCTCTACCGTTACTAGTGTGAAGAACTATACCTCGGTGGATGAATTTTATTATTAGTCTGACATTACTTAGTGGTTAGATAGCTGATTTTGGCAGTTGTTGAATTTTGTTTATTACTGTGACGCTCTGCTAGCTTACGGTGCGTACTCAAGATTTTAAGATTTTAACAATAACATTGTGTTGGTTTCGTTATTTTGAGCTACACATTCAGATGTTTGTTTGTCATATGTTACTAGCTAGTACCAAAGGCTCTCTCTTTTTTATTTTTTAGTTGTTTTTCATGTATCTGTTAGATTATCTAGAAATAATGCTTTTACTGTAAACGTTACTTTTGACACCTGAATGAAAAGCCACGTGAGATTTCTCTGTTTGAGGGAACTTTATTAAGATTAAATTAAGCTTTTGGCAAATAAAAATATACAGGATTTTTTGTCAAAAAAATTTAAATGTAAAATGGCAAAAAAATTATATGTAGCAAAATGTAAGAAAAAAAAAATAATTCTGAATAAAATATACTGGTGAATCTTCTGATTATATCTCTGGATGTATTACCACTGTCCACTGCTTGGAGATCATTAAGACTTCGTTTCACTTGTATATAGTAAATGTGTAATAATTAAAATCTAAATTGTGGATTTAAAGTAACTTCTCTGTGTATGTGCAATGATATACATATCTGTATATATGAAACATGTTCCTATATAATAAACACCTGTACTGTTATTGTCTTGCTCTTAAAAATCACTGAACACTTGTAGGGAGTAATATGGAAAGTTGTTTTAAAACGTTCAGCACAGATGCAATAACATATTCCATCTTTTGTTTACAGAGTGTCTGCCAGAGAGAAAGTGGAGTAGAAAGGTGGGAAGGATCCCATGTGGGGATGACAGTGTGGGTCACAGAAGAAAGTGTAATGACTGACCCAGAGCAGTCACTCTTGACCTTCACTATGGAACCAATTGGCTCATCACGCCCTATGACTATATGTCGTCCGTATGAGCCGCCACCAAGTGGAAATAATTCGTTTCAGGAATGGTAACCCGAACAAGAGTGAGCTGTCTCTGCCACAACCTCTGCCTGTTGGCTGGGTAACATTTAACCTATCATCAACATCGCTCACAGAGTTGTGGCTCCTACCACATACGAAACTTGTGTCATTATCCGCTGATATGACCATTGCCAATCTCAATATAGATGGCAGCAATATCACGGTCGGTTGCCATCACAGTAAGTATTTTGATTTAGTTCCCTGGGTTTAAAGCCTATCGACATTACTGGAGTTATAGAAGCTGCACATCATGTGTTCTCTAACAGTCAATGATATTTCAGCCTTTGTAAAAAGATATTAATTAAATTCTGAGCCTATGCACAAATAACTTTAATTATAAATTAATTTTTTAAATATGTGTATTTTTTTGGCAAATAATTAAATTACAGCATCTTACATAGAGCATCAGATTGTGTCGAACGTTAAAAGACCTTTAAAGTATTTTAAAATAACTTGACATCATTGAGAAATCGTAAAGAAGTGAGCAAAAATTTACTAAAAATAAGGACACATGTGCAACACATGAAACACTGAGTTACGGTACATTTTCGCTCCCCTTGAGTTTTGTCAAGTTATTGTCTTGAGAAAGATTGTGGAGAAAAAAAACGATACTGCAATTAAATGTCTCATTAATAGCACATGTGTCGTCTTAGTCAACAATTTGTCGGTAATTCTACAAATATTATTACAATAAAGATGTGAAGAAAATACCATACTTGCCAGTGTGTGCCTGGAAAACAGTGCCATAGAGAGCAGATTATCCCAATTCTCTAGATTTTCTCCCTTCTTCTCCCTTTACTGTTTTCCCTTGTAAATCTGTTCTTAAAGCCCATAAAGCAACATTAAAATTAGTGTTTTTTTTAAGAAAGCACCTCAGTGAACAGATATTACCGAACTCGCTTCTTCAGAACAGGTTGGTTAATTTGTCTTGGTCGCCGTTTGACCAACTGCACAGGTTAGTTCTTACCAAGAATATTAGTCTGCTAAAACATGAGAGGAAAACGATATTGACTGAAGCGAGAAAACCAAAACAAATGTTCTTCAACTGTCACTGGAGCGGCAAGATCATATATTAGATTACATATATATAGGAAGGGGCGGGGGTAGAATAGTGAGATGGAAAACTAAATGTTTACATGCTGGAAAATAAACCTTTCGGGAGTGGAACTTACCCTGGACCCGGCTGGTTAAAGCTCCCGCTTCACACACGGAGGGCCCGGGTTCGATTCCTGGCGGGTGGAAACATTTCGACGTGTTTCCTTACACCTGTTGACCTGTTCACCTAGCAGCAAATAGGTACCTGGTGTTAGTAGACTGGTGAGGGTCGCATCCTGGGGGAAAAGATTGAGGACCTCAATGGAAACTAATTAGACACTCCTGGATGAAGCACTGACTTTCTTAGGTTATCCTGGGTGGATAACCCTCCTGGGTTAAAAATCCTTTCTAATCTCTTAGCTGTAGGACATATATACGTATATATACAGTGGTCCCTCGATTATCGACGGTAATCCGTTCCTGGAAGCCGGTCGATTATCGAAATGGTCGATTTACGAATCAATTTTCCCCATAAGAAATAATGTAAATTCAATTAATCCGTTCCTGACACCCAGAAGTATTAAAACAAAAAAAATTTTTACATGAAATATTCATGTAGTACATAAACAATACAATGGGAAATGATGAATGAAACATTAACAGCATAACACTTACCTTTATTGGAGATTCTTCTTAGTGTATGGGAGACTGGAGGAGGAGGAGAGAGTGGATTGTTTATAGTTTGGAAGGGGAATCCCCTTCCAGCAACACCTCAGGTACCATTTGCTTTTCTGGGGTTGCTTCTTTTCTCTGTTTCTTAATGCCACTAGGACCAGCTTGAGAGTCACTGGAGTCCTGTCTCGCAAAATAACTGTGCAGAGAGCTCTGTTTCTGGCGTCTCTTTAAAACTTCCCTAAAATGGGCCAAGACTCTGTCACTGTACAAGTTGCCGATATGGCTTGCAACATCCTTCTCTGGGTGATGTTTCTCCATAAATCTTTCCATCTTACCCCACATAGTAAAAATCTCCTTAATTTCTGAAGAAGGCACCTTCTTCCATCTCTCTTCCTCCTCCTCTGCAGCAAGATTCTGAGCTGCGATCTGTTGCTCTTCCTGCTGAAGCTCTTGCAGCTCCTCAGTGGTTAGCTCTTCGTTGTGGTCCTCCACCAACTCTTCCACATCCTCCAAACTCACATCCAACCCCATGGAACTCCCCAGTGCCACAATAGAGTTCAAAACTGACATAGGCTCATCAGGGTCAGCCCCAAACTGGCTGGGAAGGAAGGCTGAGGCGGGTCGAGGCCCGCTTACCTCGTGCATACGCGTCTGGGACGACGGGTCGAGACGGGTCGATAAACGAATTTCGGTCAATTTCCGAGTCAATATTTTGTCGAAAAAACCGATTGATTTCCGAAATGGTCGACTTTCAGGCCGGACGATTATTGAGGGACCACTGTATATATATTTTTTAATATATATATATATATATTATATATAAAAATATATATATATATATATATATATATATATTATATATATACATATAAGGTAGTAGGTTGGTAGACAGCACCCACCCATGGAAGTACTACCGTCCTGCCAGATGACTGTGAAACAGAAACCTGTAACTGTTTTGCATGATGGTAGGATTGCTGGTTTCTTTTTCTGTCTCATAAAAACGCTAGATAACAGGGATATCTTGCTACTCCAACTTACACTTTGATCACACTTCACAGACACGTACATGCATATATATATACATTCATCTAGGTTTTTCTCCTTTTTCTAAATAGCTCTTGTTCTTCTTTATTTCTTCCATTGTCCATGGGGAAGTGGAAAAGAATCTTTCCTCCGTAAGCCATGCGTGTCGTATGAGGCGACTAAAATGCCGAGACCAATGGGCTAGTAACCCTTTCTCCTGTAGACATTTACTAAAAAAGAGAAGAAGAAAAACTTTATAAAACTGGGATGCTTGAATGTGCGTGGATGAAGTGCGGATGACAAGAAACAGATGATTGCTGATGTTATGAATGAAAAGAAGTTGGATGTCCTGGCCCTGAGCGAAACAAAGCTGAAGTGGGTAGGGGAGTTTCGGTGGGGGGAAATAAATGGGATTAAATCTGGAGTATCTGAGAGAGTTAGAGCAAAGGAAGGGGTAGCAGTAATGTTGAAGGATCAGTTATGGAAGGAGAAAAGAGAATATGAATGTGTAAATTCAAGAATTATGTGGATTAAAGTAAAGGTTGGATGCGAAAAGTGGGTCATAATAAGCGTGTATGCACCTGGAGAAGAGAGGAATGTAGAGGAGAGAGAGAGATTTTGGGAGATGTTAAGTGAATGTATAGGAGCCTTTGAACCAAGTGAGAGAGTAATTGTGATAGGGGACCTGAATGCTAAAGTAGGAGAAACTTTTAGAGAGGGTGTGGTAGGTAAGTTTGGGGTGCCAGGGGTAAATGATAATGGGAGCCCTTTGATTGAACTTTGTATAGAAAGGGGTTTAGTTATAGGTAATACATATTTTAAGAAAAAGAGGATAAATAAGTATACAAGATATGATGTAGGGCGAAATGACAGTAGTTTGTTGGATTATGTATTGGTAGATAAAAGACTGTTGAGTAGACTTCAGGATGTACATGTTTATAGAGGGGCCACAGATATATCAGATCACTTTCTAGTTGTAGCTACACTGAGAATAAAAGGTAGATGGAATACAAGGACAATAGAAGCATCAGGGAAGAGAGAGGTGAAGGTTTATAAACTAAAAGAGGAGGCAGTTAGGGTAAGATATAAACAGCTATTGGAGGATAGATGGGCTAATGAGAGCATAGGCAATGGGGTCGAAGAGGTATGGGGAAGGTTTAAAAATGTAGTGTTAGAGTGTTCAGCAGAAGTTTGTGGTTACAGGAAAGTGGGTGCAGCAGGGAAGAGGACGATTGGTGGAATGATGATGTAAAGAGAGTAGTAAGGGAGAAAAAAGTTAGCATATGAGAAGTTTTTGCAAAGTAGAAGTGATGCAAGGAGGGAAGAGTATATGAAGAAAAAGGAGAGGTTAAGAGAGTGGTGAAGCAATGTAAAAAGAGAGCAAATGAGAGAGTGGGTGAGATGTTATCAAAAATTTGTTGAAAATAAGAAAAAGTTTTAGAGTGAGATTAACAAGTTAAGGAAGCCTAGAGAACAAATGGATTGTCAGTTAAAAATAGGAGAGGAGAGTTATTAAATGGAGAGTTAGAGGTATTGGGAAGATGGAGGGAATATTTTGAGGAAATTGTTAAATGTTGATGAAGATAGGTAAGCTGGGATTTCGGTATAGGGCAAGAGGAATAACATCTTGTAGGAGTGAGGAAGAGCCAGTTGTGAGTGTGGGGGAAGTTCGCGATGCAGTAGGTTAAAATGAAAGGGGGTAAGGCAGCCGGGGATTGATGGGATAAAGATAGAAATGTTAAAAGCAGGTGGGGATGTAGTTTTGGAGTGGTTGGTGCAATTATTTAATAATGTATGGAAGAGGGTAAGGTACCTAGGGATTGGCAGAGAGCATGCATAATTCCTTTGTATAAAAGGCAAAGGGGACAAAAGAGAGTGCAAAAATTATAGGGGGATAAGTCTGTTGAGTATACCTGGTAAAGTGAATGGTAGGGGTTATTATTGAAAATTAAGAGTAAAACTGAGAATAGGATAGCAGATGAAACAAGGAGGGGTTTAGGGAAAAGGGAGGGGTGTTTTGGACCAGGTGTTTACAGTGAAACATACAAGTAAACATATTTAGATAAGGCTAAAGAGGTCTTTGTGGCATTTATGGATTTGGGAAAAAGGGATATGAAGGGTGGATAGGGGGCAATGTGGCAGTTGCAGGTGTATGGTGTAGGAGGTAGGTTACTGAAAGCATGAAGAGTTTTACGAGGATAGTGAGGCTCAAGTTAGAGTAATGTAGGAAAGAGGGAAATTATTTCCCAGTAAAAGTAGGCCTTAGACAAGGATGTGTGATGCCCACCGTGGTTGTTTAATATATTTATAGATTGGGTTGTAAGAGAAGTAAATGCGAGGGTCTTTGCAAGAGGCGTGGAGTTAAAAGATAAAGAATCACACATAAAGTGGGAGTTGTCACATTTGCTCTTTGCTGATGACACTGTGCTCTTGGGAGATTCTAAAGAGAATTGCAGAGATTGGTGGATGAATTTGGAAAAGGTATCAAAAGAAGAAAATTAAAAGTGGATACAGGAAAATAAGGTTTATGAGGATGACAAAAAGATTGGGTGATGAAAGATAGGATATCAGATTGGAGGGAGAGAGTATGAAGGAGGTAATGTATTCAGATATTTGGGAGTGGACGTGTCAGCGAATGGGTCTAGAAAGATGGGGTGAATCATAGAATTGATGAGGGGAAAAGGTAAAGGGGTGCACTTAGGAGTCTGTGGGACAAAGAACTTTGCCCTTTGGGAGGCAAAGAGGGGAAATGTATGAGAGTAAAGTTTTACCAACGCTCTTATATGGTGTGAAGCATGGGTGATGAATGTTGCAGCGAGGAGAAGGCTGGAGGCAGTGGAGATGTCATGTCTAAGGGCAATGTGTGGTATGAATATAATGCAGAGAATTCGTAGTTTGAAAGTTAGGAGGAGGTGCGGGATTACCAAAACGTTTGCCCAGAGGTTGAGGAAGGGTTGTTGAGGTGGTTCGGACATGTAAGAGAATGGAGTGAAACCGAATGACTTCAAGAGTGTATCAGTCTGTGTGGAAGGAAGACGGGTAGGGGTCGGCCTAGGAAAGGTTGGAGGGGGGGGAAAAGGAGGTTTTTGGTGCGAGGGGCTTGAACTTCCCAGCAGGCATGCGTGAGCGTGTTTGATAGAAGTGAATGAGACAAAAAGGTTTTTAATACTTGACGTGCTGTTGGAGTGTGAGCAAAGTAACATTTATGAGGGGTTCAGGGAAACCGGCAGGCCAGACTTGAGTCCCGAAGGTGGAAGTACAGTGCCTGCACTCTGAAGGAGGGGTGTTAATGTTGTAGTTTAAAAACTTCAGTGTAAAGCCCCCTTCTGGCAAGACAGTGATGTGTGAATTGATGGTGAAATTTTTTTTTTCGGGCCCCCCTGCTTGGGGGAATTCGGTCAGTGTATATAATAAATAAATTTAATATTTTATATATACATATAAATATTTTTATATAGTTTATATATATTAAAATTATTATATTTTTTTATATAATATATATTTTATAATATATTATATATACATAATAATATATATATCTATAATTTATTATAATATATATATATAATTATTATTATATTATATATATATAAAATATATATATATATATATATATATTTATATTTACATATATTTATATATATTTATATATATATATATATATATTTATTATATATATATATTAATATTTTTATATATATAGTCGTGTCGAATATGTAAAACTGGTTAATTAGCAAGAACTAATTTAAAATTAAGTCCTTTCTAAAATTTTCTCTTATACGTTTGTAGATTTATTTTTTTCATTAATGTTGATGTAAAAATTTATAATTTTGCACCAGAAGAATCTTAGAAAACTTACCTAACCTTATTATAACAAGAACAATTTATTTTAGCCTAACCCAACAAAATATATTTTAGATTTGTTTACGATAATTTAATACTAAACAAACAGAGTGAACTATATTTTTTTTCGTTAGGTTTAGAATGATTTTGGCGAAATTATTGCATACACAAATTTTCACTAGTCCTATATGGCAAGATGAGCGTTGCTATTTAAGCCAAGATCGCAAGTTCTGCCTATTCAGCACGACATATTATATATATATTATATATATAATTTTATATATATATATATATTATATATTTTATATATATATATATATATTTATATATATATATATATATATATATTATATATATATATATATATATATGCAAAACAACCACTCTGAAAAATAGAGAAATTCCAAAACGCTTTCGTGATTTACTCACTTATCATTATTGGAATTTCTCTATTCTTTCAGAGTGGTTGTTTTGCATATTTTGAAATCACCTGTTTACTGTGATCTTATTGAATATATATATATATTATATATATAATATATATATATATTATATATATATATATATATAATTATATTATATATATATATATATATATATATATTATTAATATATAATATTATTATATATTATATATATATATATATATATGTATGGTTTTTTATTTCCCAAAAATATGCAGAGAGAAAATGTTTTTTTCCCTTAACTGAGAAATTCAATCTGATCGTAGTTGTATTGTGTTAGTCAATATCAACTATTTTACTGAGTATTATGCAAGAAAAATGTGGGATAATAGGAAGTAATTCTCCAAGGGAGAAGTTTCTCAGTTCAATTTCTGCTACTCTTATTATATTTTCATAATTCCTGATTTAATTTTTTCTTATGCTTGCGAATAATATTTTTCAAATGAAACGATTTAGAAAAGCGAGTTAAAATTTTATCATAATAAATTGCACATATTTTGCAGATGTGTTTGGGTGGAATGTGGCTGAGGGCCGGGCAGTGACAGTGCCACTGCCTCGCCGTCACCGTCACTACGTCAGTACGTATTCCAACACTGCCTCACAACCCAGACTCACGTTGGGAGACATACACTACAACTGGATGGGTTTGGTTCTACTTTGGTTGACGTGACTCAGTATGACAATAAATATCAAAAACCTCTACCAGCAGCCACTGAACATCACCTCGTTATCTTTTGCAATTCTTCTCATGTTGAAGCTGTTATCTGTTACATTGAGGTAAATATGATATAGATACACTACAGAGTCATGCATATCAGTGATGCTCTCACAGACAATCAGAACAAATTTAGACCTAGCATATTCTTTTTTGTTGTTCGTCAACATCGCAGCTAATGAGAAATCTTAAATATATTTCAGGCTGGGAAGAAAATCTTGAAAACTGTGAATTTAGGTGAGTTACCAACCTCGGTAACTTTTCATGAAAAATCAGAGGAGCAGTTCTATGTATTCTATCACCGAGTTAATGACAATGTTACTGACGTTTCAGTATCTTCATCTCCTGCAGGTAAGAAAACTGATTTTATTGAACTGTTGGTTATTTCTTGAAATTCAGATAAATGTGTATTCTCCTTCCTCTTTCAGAAATAATGCGCTAACACATGCCTCGTGGGAATCTCTCTTGGAAAAGTTATATGATGTTGATTGCAGAATGAAATTTGAAATAAAATATAAAAACACATAAAATTTTCCCTTTTCCCTGGATACGCTTGTAATCAGAGATAATCAATCAGTGAAATTATTCTTGAACATAATTACACTGAGTTGGGGAAACATATTTTATCTAGCACTAATTTCAGCAGTTTCTGGGAAGTGCAGTCCTGAGTTTCCTCTGGATATCCAGTTGCCTTTTAACATAAAGATTGTGACAAGTGTGTGGGGGGCTTGTTTTTAACTTATTTATGATACTAAATAAGTGAAGTCAGGTGTTAGACGTCTTGTCAGGTGAACAGGTAGTACCTGGTGAACTTACTTGGACTTAGCATGGGTAAAATCAAGTTTCTAACCATCTGGTTAGGATATGCATGTTTTTAGACAGGCAACGGATTCATCATACCATTTTTATTATCTGAAGTTACAGTGAGAGTAAAAGAGACATGGGGTTCAAGGAGAATGGTTTCAGAAAGTGAGAGAGAGGCGAAGGGGTAAAAAAACTAAAGTAGGAGGCAGTTAGGTAAGATATAAGAACTATTTATAGAAAGATGGGCAGAGAGAGTATAGACAAAGACGTTCAAGATATATAGGGTAGATTTAAGAATGAAGTGTTAGAACGTTTAGCAGAAGTATGTGGATATAAGAGGGTGAGTGCAGGAGGGAGGGATCTTTGGAGGTAGGAGTATATGGAGAAAAAAAAGGAGGTTAAGAGAATGGTGGTGGAATGTAAAAGGGGAGCAGATGCCGGAGTGGTTGAGATGCTGTCAACAAATTTTGTTGAGAATATGAAAAAGTTTTGGAGTGAGATTAATAGATTGAGGAAGCCTAGGGATCAAATGGATTTGACAGTTTAAAATAGAAGAGGATAGTTATTAGATAGGGAGTTGGAGGTATCGGAAAGATGGTGAGAATATTTTGAGGAACTATTAGATATTGATGTAAACATTGATTCTCTTATTTCGTGCATTGGTTAGGGAGGTATGACGTCTTTTAGGAGTGAGGAAGAGATAGATGTCTGCGTGTTGGAGGTGTGTAAGGCTGTTGGAATAGTTGGTGCTTTCATTTAGTAAATATTTGAAAGCGGGGAAGGTACCCAAGGATTCTCAGAGAGTATACGTAGTTCCTTTGTATAATGGTAATGGACACTAAATAGAGTATAAGAATTATGAAGGGATAACTCTGTTGAGTATACATGGTAAGGTCTATGATAGGATTAATACTGAAGAAAAATTGAAAGTAAGATGGACAACAAGTTCACAAATGAACAAGGAGACTTTATTAAGGGTAGGGGACGTGTAGGCCAAGTATTTACACTGAAGCATGTAAGTAAATAGTATTTAGATAGGAGTAAAGAAGTTTTTGATGCATTCATGTATTCGGAACAGTCATATGATAGGGTGGACAGGGAAGCAACAAGGCAGAGGTTGCAAGTTTATGGAATACGTGGAAGGTTACAGAAAGCAGTTCAGAGCTTTTTATGAGGAGAGTGAGACACAGGTTAGAGTATGTAAAAGTGAGTCTTACACAGGGATGTGTGATGTAACCATGGTGGTTCAATATATTTATAGATGGGGTAGTAAGAGAAGTGAATGCTCGGGAGTTGGGATTAAAAGATAAAGAATCTAATGCAAAATGGGAATTGTCACAGTTGCTTTCTGCTGATAACACTGCTTTTCTATGATTCCAAAAAGGAGTTTCAAAGGTTAGTGGACGAATTTGGGAAGGTGTGTAAAATAAGAAACTTAAAAGTGAACATAGGATGATGATAAAATAAAATTTAAGAAATGAAAGATTGGATATCAGATTAGAAGTCTTCCTAGGAAAGATCGTAGGGAGGGGGTAAAAAAGATTTTGTGTGCTTGAGGTTTAGAGATAGGTGCAGCATATATGAGTGTGTTAGATACGTATGAGTTTAAGCAAGTGGCTAACTTGTCATGAGGTGTTGTTGGAGTGTGAGCAAGGTATTATTTTTATTAATGGAGGCCTGGTCACAGACCGGGCCGCGGGGGCGTTGACCCCCGGAACTCTCTCCAGGTAAACTCCAGGTAATAACCAAGGAACAATAATAATAATTGACACTCAAGGCAGTATGTAGGAATGTATGAAAAGATTCTTCCGAGCACTACCTAGAACCTACTAGAACCATCCGGGACGTAAGGTATTTTAGGATGACAAATAGCGCTTTGGATTCTTATATTAATTAGAAGGCTTACTTATAATTTCATTGTTTTGTATGTGTACTATCTACTTACGCAACGTATTCTCTAAAGCCGCATGACTTGCTGACGGCGATTAGATACAGCTTAGTGCTGGCTGTTAAATCTCCTGCTCTGTTTCCTGCTTACCTAAACCTCAGATGTTCTCTCCACCAACTGAACCAAATTGGATGGTAGGTAACAAAAAGGTGCGTGGGTCCTGACCCTTCCTGAGTGGAATGGGTTTGCTTAACCGTTACCTAACTCTTAGAAAATTCCATCTTATAACTTCTGTTGCTACTCTTGCAACATTATGTACCAACTGATGAAGCACGAAGAATTCTGAAAGATCTTCAACTGAAGATTTTTATCAACCATTATTGTTTTTGTCTAATTTTGTAAGATTGTCTTTATTATATATATATATCTTTATATATATATATATATATTTTATATTTATATATTATATATATATATATATATATATATTATATATTATTTTATATATATATAATATATATATATATTATATATATATTATATATATTTTTTATATATATAATATATAATATAATATATTTTATATATATATAAATTATATAAAAACCAAATTTAATATATAAAATATAAATAATTATATATATATATATATATTATTATATATTTTTTATATAAAAAGATATCCCCCCCCCCTATATAATATTATATATATTATATATATATATATATAAATATATATAATATTATATATATATATAAAAAATTATATTATATATATTTATAAAAATATATATATATATAATATATATATATATATATATAATATATATAAATATATATATTATATAAAAATATATATATAAATTTTTTATTTTATATATAAAAATAAAATATTTATATTATATATATATATAATAAATTTTATATATATATAAAATATAAATATTTTTTAAAATATATATATCATAAACCCCATAAAAGGTGATTTCAGAAAATGCAAAAAAACCACTGAAAAAGAATGAAAAATTTCCCAAGTGCTTTCGTGACTACTCACATTATCGGGAAACAATGAAAGAAGCATAAAAGGAAGGCATATAAAGGGTCTAGCCCACCCTCACTACCATTCCACAACAAAGCAACACCTGACGAGCTACTCATAAGAAAGGGGACACTGCAGCAGGGCCCGCTGCCCAACTAACAGGTCCTTCACACAACCCCCCAAAAAAACAAAATTTCTACCAAAATTTAAGAATTTTAAAATTTATTATTTGTTCAATGATTTTAAATTCTTCCAAATTCTATAATTAAAAGGACTAATTAAAAAACCCAAAAGGGAAAAAAATTCATATTATTGTCAAAATGTTTTTTTATGAAACAAGATTCTTTTATTTTCCTGTCGACCAGGGACTTGCTTAAACAACTTTCTAAAACTTTTTGAAAATCAATTGGAGGGTTTAAAACCCCACATAATGAATAAGTTTGGGAACTTGTCCATTTCTAAGGGCAATTTAGTTTTTTTAATCTTAGTTCGAGTTTTTTACCATTTTAACCGTAATAAACTTTATCGCAAATTTTACAGGAATCTTAGGGGACCATCCGTTAGCTTTTGGGGGAATTCTTTACAAAAGTTTTTTTTACTGTATCAAGATTTTAAATGCAACTTTGATATTAAAAGCTTAAAAAAGAGGCATATCAACCAAGTTTCATGGTAAAGGGGGAACCAACTATTTTTTTTGAATAAGGGGTTGCCCTTTTTGGATTGTAAAAAATATTTCTAGCAATTTTAAAAGATTTATCAATTACGTTTCTTGGGTATTTCAAATCATTACCTATTTCATAAATTTTGTATATTTCCTCATCTATGAACTCTGGACTACAAATACGTAAAGCTCTTAAAAACATTGATGAGAAAAGAGACAGTTTAACTCTATCTTGATGTGAAGAATAATAGTGGACACAGGAACAGTTATTTGTAGGTTTTCTGTAAATTTTAAATTTGAATTCATTATTACCCTTAATAATTAAAACATCTAGAAAAGGCAATGAGTTATTTTCTTCAAACTCAACAGTAAAGTTTATAGAATTGGCTAAGCCATTTAATTTTCCAAGGAAATGGTGTATATCTACATTCTCGGTCGTAAGACACAAAATATCATCAACATATCTGAACCATTTAGCTCTGTTAGGGAGGATTGTGTTAAGCAGCCTTGTTTCAAAAAATTCCATGTATAGGTTGCTAAGAACAGGTGAAAGAGGATATCCCATTGTCATACCAAACTTCTGAGTGTAAAACTTATCATTAAATACAAATTTTGCATCACCAATGCAAAGTTTAATGATAGTAGGAACTGGCAATGGTAAATCATAATTAACGAGTTCTTCAGATAAGAAACTTAATAAATCATCAACAGGAACTTTCGTAAACAAGGAAGTAACATCAAAACTAACCATGTTAAAATCATTTAAGTCAGTCAAGGAGCTTATTTTATCAACTAAATCTATGTTGTTTTTAACATTAAAGTTAGAAATTTTGCCAACAATTGGGCTTAAAATATCAACAATCCACTTCGATAATTTATATGAAACTGATCCTATGGAGCTAATAATTGGTCTGACTGGATTCCCTGGTTTGTGTGTTTTTATTAGTCCATACATGTAAGGT